CTCTCCAGCATCCCCCGAGGGGTCCTGGATAGCGAGAGGGCACAAGTCAGGCTGAGGGACCGCACTGATGCACAAACGGGCCTAGGGAGGGACCACAGGAGCGCTCCAGGGCATGTCCAGTTCATTTTGCTCAGTCCCGATCGGCCGGACCCCAGCAGCAAGCTAACCTACTGGTCGGAGTGTCTGCTCCCTGGTGGTCAGTGCATGTTATAGCGAGCGGTTGAGCAACCTTAGCATATAATTAGCATATTACGCTTTGATTGGTTGAACGGCCGACTGGAACACCAGACACTTAGCATATTAGGCTTTTATTATATAGGAGGATCTCTTCCTGCCTTCTTGGCAGGGAGGAAATAGTGAACATTCCTTTAGATTTTTATCAGAGTTATTTCTACAAAGTTATATATATATATATTACAGAAACAGGTTATTGTGATATGTGAAGACATTTGCTTAGTACTAAATAGAACTCAATTATGGTTCTATGATTTTTAGATACTTGTATCACTTTGTTTTTTCTCTGTGACCTTTCACTTCTTCACAATATCTCTTATCTCTGATTGTATCTATCTCCTTTTCATTTGTAGTAACCTAGGAAACCATAAACAGAGCTTTGCTTCTTACATGAGAGCCCAAGGATGTCCTTTATGAGTGAGTTGTTTTTGTGATAATTTTGGCTATGCAAAAGTCTATTTATAAAAAAACTTATTGTCTGGTTATTCACTGTGTTCTGAATAGCTACAGTTGCTAGATCAGTGTAGTTGAAGCTGAGAATTTAGTTTAAGAAGATTCATCAATCAAATACATTCTAGGTAAGAAGTCAATGCCAAAATCAGCCACAGTTTCAAATTCAACATTAACTCATTTCATTTACTCCTAATCTGATAAAGAATTTATAGAAATATAGTAAGAACCTCTGCTTCACCAGGGCACTGAGATATTTTAGTGCAACTCGGATCTGTAAAATTTGTTGAAAAGTAAATATAAGGATAGTACGGGGAGATGTAAAAATCTTAAAAGGTTGACGGACATGGTAATTGCCTTGAAGCATTAAAAAAACAAAAAGCCATATTATTTTCTTTCCTATTAAACACATGAAATGACTTATTTGAGGAAATAAAAGAATATCAACATCTCTAGCATGAATTAGGAGAACTGCCCCCGCAGCCTCCAGTTCAAGACCATTAAAAAAATCTTGTCCAGGTTAAGCACAGCTAAAGTTCTTGCTATATCTAATTTTCAATAAAAAGAATTTGAGAATATTATTTTTAAAACATTTATTATATGAAATTTGGATATTAGTACCATGATTCACAATTTCTAGTAAACAAATTGCTATTTCAATGTCATAATAACTTTCAGATTTATTGTAATCAATGTTTTTTTCTAAATGGGTTCTGAACCAAAGGTATTGGATTTGTGAACATGTTTATAATTATACTGTACTAAAATCCTACCTTATTAGTAAAAATAACATTAACTGAGAATCTTTTGCAAGTCTCATTATTTCATTTTTTTTAAAGTTTTAAAATGTAAAATGCCTATAAACTGGTTCTTTTTATAAGGTTAAAAATTAGGGCAAAATGTCCAAGATAAAGGAATAGTTAGTTTCTAATGTTTTTGACCAGAAACACGAAGTACTTAATACATAATTATTTTATGAAGACAAGAGTAATAAAAGACAATATGGATACTGCCGCCAGCATTACTGTAACCCTGTGTTTAAGCATATAAGCATCTTCCTTCAAAAGCACCCTTCCAAGAATTCTAAGTAATAGTAGTATGATTTGATCATAGAGCATTACTGCCCATAGCAAATGATGAAACAAAATCTTTGTTTCCTGACCACTAGTCCACAGTTGTATGCCTACAACTACAAAGCTTCTCAAGTCATTTTAAGCACAAAAAGCCTGATGTGGAGCAACAGCCGGGTCTAACAATGGGAAAGGAAGTCTTTCTCTGAGTGCCATCCTCCTGCTGCCCCACACTGGGGTCTTATCATAAACTTTACCCAAGTCTCTGAGCACAAATATGTGTCACTATGGGTTAGTCAATAACCAAACTAACCTGAGCAGTTCAGTTTATAGTACACACAAATGTAAGATTTTAGTATATTGGCTGAAACTGACAGGCATTAGGCATGGATTACAAACTCAGAAATAAGAGCATTTCTGTTTCTCTCTTCTTGTGAAGTTACCAACAAGGACTATCATGAAACATAACCCTCAATTTTTTTCTAGTAGTTATTACGAGCCAAGGAATGCCTAAAAGTAAGAAGGCGGTCACTATCATAAAAATTAGCCAGATGAGCCAGGAAAAATAGCAATGTAGAAACCAGAAGCAGGCAACATGAATACATCCATAATCTGTGGCGGTCTGTTGAAAGATTTTCTAATTCCCAGCTAGTTTCAGTAGAGGCTACAGAGATAGAATTTTATTAACATATTGCATATTTTAAAATAATATAATAGTCTCTCATTTTTTTTTCATACCAGTTCAAGGAAAGCAGGGAATAGGTAATAAACAACCCTAATATATCTATCAATTTACATACACAGAAAAAAATCAGTGCAGATATCAAGTGTACAAAGAATCTCAAACTGTCTTCTCGTAAATCATTCTAATTTATAGTTCATGTCCAAGATGCCTATAACCAAAGAACAAAATTTTCTATGCATATAAGGTTGTATAAAATTGGGGATTTCCCCAAATATAAGACATATTCAGATTGCCTGGCTTTAGCAAACCAGTCACCTCAAAATACATTTATTATGCTTACTTAACCAAGGTACCATGTTTAATATAAAGTAAAATCAATAGTAATGTCTCAAAGATTTTCCACAAATACTTAAAGAATCCAGGTTTTATAGTTGAGACTTAGTACCTTGGAAATTTGGTGGCTAACTTTGATAGATAGACAAATGAGTATTGAAAAATCATGATTTTATATTACATGCATCAAATATGCTGTTGGGAAGTTGGCAAACCCAACTTTTATAACACCTGTAATTGAGTAGATGCTCTACAAAGAACAACTCATCTCTCCGCTTCCTGATCAGCCATGCTTGCTTTTTGGGAAAAGATCAGTTTCTGGGGGATAAAAAACAATATTCTTAGAAACTGCTTATAATAAGATGCCTTACCAAAGGGAGGTAGTCCATACGTTTGGGTTGCCTGAGGGTAGACAGCATACGGTTGAGACTGCTGTAGTGTCTGGTACTGAGTCTGCCCAGGATAAGCAGTTTCCGAAACAGGAACTGAGAGGATATGTGCATACGGTCTAGAAAAGTTCAAGAAAACAAAAACTTGCATGTGTGATTTATTTTAGTAATGAAAAATAGGAGAAATAGCTAATACCACTAAATGCCAAGAATCAGTAATGAGGAGACTAACCTTCCACAAAATGTCTCTGTGGTCAAAAAGTAGAGCTAATATTTCCTTTCCAGGTTCTACTACAACCTACCTAAGAAACAATTTTATGAAAAATTTATAATTTTCAAATATCCTCCAATAAAAAAAAATATAGTTTTAAAAAGGATGGATCAAACTTGTTTATGCCCTTATGTCTACATATAGAACAAAACTAAACTAATAGAAAATCGGATAGAACAGGCTTCACAACTGGCTCTTGTTCTTCACCCAGCCTTCTGGGCCAAACTAATGCTCTTTTAAAAATTATTTTAAAAATATTTTTATTGATTTCAGAGAGGAAGGGAGAGGGTGAGAGAGATAGAAACATCAATGATGAGAGAGAATCACTGATTAGCTGCCCCCTGCACGCCCCCTACTGGGGATTGATCCTGCAACCCGGGCATGTGCCCTTGACTGGAATTGAACCCAGGACCCTTCAGTCCACAGGTCAACATTCTATCCACTGAGCCAAACTGGCTAGGGCCAAACTAAAGTTCTAAGAGGAAAAGTGGGGCTTAGAAAAGAGGGTGAGGCTGGTAGAGAAAAGGCAAGGGAATAGAAATGGGCTCCAATATTGTCAGATCAAGCCCATAAAACAGGAGCCAGATAATAAAAATATGGGAAGTCCCAGATAGGACTTGGAATTTTCCCACTGATTTTTAAGCCAGAGTATACTGCTACTAAATGGTGCCAACCACATCAGGTTTAACTAGGGATTTGAATTCAGCAGTGAAACTTCCGGTAATATATACTAGCTAGATGACCTCACATTACTTTTTCATCTGTTTTTTTTTTTTTTTTATTCCTCACCCAAGGATATCTTTCCATTGATTTTTAGAGAGAGTGGAAGAGAGAGGGAAAGACACAGAGATATATTGATGTGAGAGAAACATATCAACTGATTGCCTCCTGCACAAGCCCTGACCAGGGCCTGGTCCAGGGAGGAGCCTGCAACCGAGGAACATGCCCTTTACCAGAATCGAACCTGGGGCCCTTCGAGCCACAGGCCGACGCTCTGTCCACTGAGCCAAACTGGTTAGGGCTGACCTCATGTTTCATTCATGCAATAAGATGAACCCACATTTTATGCATTGAACTTTTAGATAAGTTATATTATATGGTGAGTTATGCTGCACTTACAAGAAAAAGTGTTTCATGTACCACATGAGTAATAATGATAATACTGGAGGGAAGAGTTGTTTCAGAAGGCAAAAAGATTCTTTTCAGGTTTGGAGGAGAAGAAAACGAAGGAAGGCTATAAAGAAGTGGTATGTGGCCGAAACCGGTTTGGCTCAGTGGATAGAGCGTCGGCCTGCGGACTGAAAGGTCCCAGGTTCGATTCCGGCCAAGGGCATGTACCTGGGTTGCGGGCATTTCCCCAGTGGGGGATGTGCAGGAGGCGGCTGATCCATGTTTCTCTCTTATCAATGTTTCTAACTCTATCTCTCGCCCTTCCTCTCTGTAAAAAATCAATAAAATATATTTTAAAAAAAAAAAGAAAGGAAGCAGCCTTAGACAGTACTTAGTCAAATGAGCACGGCTGTGTTCCACTAAAACGTTTAAAAAAAAAGAAGTGGTATGTGAACTGAGCATATACAGAATGTGCAGGAGAGGGAAAGAAGTGTGTTCTAGGGAAATAGAAAAACTCTGGAAGGGGTACACAGGAAGGAAAGCAAGGGCTTCAGCCTGCAGGAAGCACAGATTATATTAAGGCAGGCATATAAAGGGAAGGGAAGTAGTGAGAGAGAGAAAAAGACAGATAGCCAAGACCTTGAACACCAGGCTAAAGAGTTCAGACAAATCTGAAAGAAGTGGGAGTCACTGAAATTGTTGAGCGGAGTAACAAAATCAGAGTTGCTCCTTAATAAAGATCAGTTTGGCATTGCTCTGTAAATGGGTTAGAAGAGAGAAAAATGAAATAGAGGTCCAGTTAAAAAAGTCATACAGGAGCTCTGAATTAAGATAGAAGGCATATGCCAGGCCTGTGTTGCTCAGTGGTTGAACATCAACCCTGAACCACGAGGTCACCAGTTTGATTCCCGGTCAGGGCACATGGCTGGGTTTCTGAGCTCGGTCGCCATTTGGGGGCATGCAAGAGGCAGCCAATCAATGACTCTCATCGATGTTTTTATCTCTCTATCCCTCTCCCTTCCTCTCTCTCAAAATCAATAAAAACATTAAAAAAAAAAAAGATAGAGGCATAGCTAATAAGGTATACTGAATATAGTAGGTATACAAATCTTTTTTGAATAAGTAAATGAATTTCGAATATGCAATATATTCTCATCTCTGGATTCTAAGAGACTGAATTTGAAAATTTCTATTCTTCTTAGCCAGATCTGAGACCAAGAAATAATTCAGGTTGTAGCTATTAATCAAATTGCATGGGGAATTATTTAAAATCTTAGTGATTAATCTCCAGATATGCCCTATTTAATATAGTGTCTTTACAGCTCAAAGTATTTTGTTAACTCCATAATATCTCAAAGAACAGGTTTAGTTATTTCACAGAAGAAAACCACATGAAAATGACTGGCCCAAGTATGCTATTAGTGTTAATACCAGATTAGAATTTGGAAAACTCATTGAGTTAACTTTTTAATTAGTGTTATTTTTAACTGGTGCAAAATCAAGGTACAAAGGGGCACAAAAAGGAGGGAAATGCCAGTTTTCTTTTTACAACAGTCCCACAGGCATCATTGATCTGCTACAAATTTCTATGAATCCTGCATTATATAAGCACATAGGAATATATCCTCATTTAATAAGCACAGTTGTACGTGTTTATGTATACACTAGAGCAGGGGTCCTCAAACTTTTTAAACAGGGGGCCAGTTCACTGTCCCTCAGACCATTGGAGGGCCGGACTATAGTTTAAAAAAAAACTATGAACAAATTCCTATGCACACTGCACATATCTTATTTTGAAGTAAAAAAACAAAACGGGAACAAATACAATATTTGTATTTGCATGTGGCCCGCGGGCCAAAGTTTGAGGACCCTTGCACTAGAGGCCTGTTGCACGAAAAGATTCGTGCAATAGGCTTTCCCTTCCCCTGGCTGCCGGCACCGGTTTTCCTCTGGCATCCGGGACCCAGGCCTTTGCTCCGGCCAGAGCCGCCTTCAGACCTTCGCTGCTCTGGCCGGAGCCGCCTTCAAGCCTTCGCTACCCCGGAACACAATATTTGTATTTGCATGTGGCCCGCGGGCCAAAGTTTGAGGACCCTTGCACTAGAGGCCTGTTGCACGAAAAGATTCGTGCAATAGGCTTTCCCTTCCCCTGGCTGCCGGCACCGGTTTTCCTCTGGCATCCGGGACCCAGGCCTTTGCTCCGGCCAGAGCCGCCTTCAAACCTTCGCTGCTCTGGCCGGAGCCGCCTTCAAGCCTTCGCTAGCATGTGGCCCGCGGGCCAAAGTTTGAGGACCCTTGCACTAGAGGCCTGTTGCACGAAAAGATTCGTGCAATAGGCTTTCCCTTCCCCTGGCTGCCGGCACCGGTTTTCCTCTGGCATCCGGGACCCAGGCCTTTGCTCCGGCCAGAGCCGCCTTCAAACCTTCGCTGCTCTGGCCGGAGCCGCCTTCAAGCCTTCGCTACCCGGGCCGGCCGCCCCAGGTCGGGTTGCACACGGGACGCCTGCCACCCCGGGTCGCAGATAGCAGGCCCGGATGGTGGCAGGGCAGGCGGGATGGCCCTGTCCCACCCTGCCTGCAATATGCAAATTAGCCGCCATCTTGGTTGGCAGTTAATTTGCATATTGCACTGGTTAGCCGATGGGAGGCATAGCGAAGGTACGGTCAATTACCATGTTTGTCTATTATTAGCTAGGATAGGCTCACTATCAATGCACAACTGGCAGCTTGGCATACACAATGTTCTGCACCTAATTAGTCAGGAGATGATTAACATGGTGGATTTTAAATGCTGATCTTAACCCCTCACAGGCTACTTCATAGTGACTTCAATCCACTAAACCTGTCTAACTTCAAGTCCACTTCTACTCTGAGGATAGTCCTAAGACAAGAAACTGAACATAAATAGGTTGAGAAGTCCCAGTATGAGGCTGGCTTGAGCTATTTTTATTGATCTGTCTATCAAGGTAAAGGAAACAGAAAATGATCAGAGGTTAATCAGTAATATGCTTTGATCACTAACAGTATTTTTCATTTTCAGTGCCTATTTATTTAGAGCGGGAGTGGGGAATCTTTTTTATGCCAACAGCTATTTGGATATTTATATCATCATTCACAGGCCATACAAAAATATCACCTTAAAAATTAGCCTGCTAGCCCTAGCCGGTTTGGCTCAGTGGATAGAGCGTCAGCCTACGGACTGACGGGTTCCAGGTTCAATTCTGGCCAAGGGCACATGTGTGGGTTGTGGGCTCGATCCCCAGTGGGGGGTGTGCAGGAGGCAGCCAGTCAATGGTTCTCTCTCATCATTGATGTTTCTATCTCTTACTCTCCCTCTCTGAAATCAATAAAAATATATTTTTTAAAAAATTAACCTGCTATATTTAGTCAAACATATAATTAACTCACCCCTGCCTTGGCAGGGTCAGACCAAATGATTTCGAAGGCCTTATACAGCCTTCGGGCCAGATGTTCCCCACCCCTGATTTAGAGTGAGCTCCTGAGTAACAGTGATCTATTCCAGGCAACCATCTACTTTTTAAAAGGATATTATAGCCCTGGCTGGTGTGGCTCAGTTGGTTGGAGCATCATCCCATACATCAAAAGGTGGCAGGTTTGATTCCTGGTTAGGGCACATACCAGGGTTGCAGGTTCTATCCTCAGTTGGGGCGCATATGGGAGGCAGCTGATCAATCTTTCTCTCCACCGCCCCCCCCACCCCAAAATCTATAAAAAGCATAACCTCCGGTAAGGAATGAATGAATGAATGAATGAAAAGATATTACACAGACTCCATATTTGGAGAGAATAAAAAAATTGGAGTAAGGCCCTAGCTGGTTTGGCTCAATGGATAGAGTGTCAGCCCTCCAACTAAAGGGTCCTGGGTTCAATTGCGGTTAAGGCCACACACCTTGGTTGCAGGTTCAATTCCCGGCCCTAGTCAGGGCAAGTGCAGGAGGCAACCAATCAATGACACATCAATGGTTCTCTCTCTGTCTCTTTTTCTCCCTTCCACTCTCT